GAGGGATTGGAGATTAAGTATTTACATAATCATCCTCTTCTCTATCCTTATCCCTCTCATACAGCATCTTGAACGGTCAACATACATTACATCCAAGGACTAATCATCTAACATGCTCCAGAAACTCCATCTGATCATGGAGACAACATTCCTCATCCCACGACTCTTTTCCCAAGCGTAAAACTTTAGAAAATATCTTAACCACGAGTTTAACTTCAAAAAATTTCTCCTTCCCCCCGAGCTCTTAGGAAGACGGGTTTGTCGTATAGCACCAATGGGCGCTGTCCCCGAGTTGCCCGCGAGAGAATAATCTTAATCCAATCTGCTCGTAAACCCACGAAATCATACCGAAAATGCTTGTGATCCATTATGCGTGCAAAAGACCTGTGAACGCCTTATGGCGTGAGAAAAATGGTTTGTGACATTTCCCATGCGTCCCAAATGCTTGACATTATGCGTCGAGAAAAGTTGTGAGCATTAGCCGTTGTTGTGTACCCATTATGTCCAACGTTGGATGCTCCAACGCTATGAATGTCTCACCTCCATATTTTCCCTGACATTGGTGCGTCGGTCTCGCCATTTCCATCCTTCTCGTCGTCTGCTCGACAATCTACCGTCGTCCCCCTCCCCGGTTGTAACACCCAAAGCCCTGATCACAGCGTAGGAGAGAAAGAGAGAAACCCCCACCCCGGAGAAAGAGAGAGAGAGAGAGAGTGAAGAGAGAGAAGAGAGAGAGAGAAAAGAGAGAGAGCGAGAGAGGAGAAGAGAGAAGAGGCGAAAGAGAGAGAGAGAGAGAGAGGACGAGAGCAGCGTTGTGTGTCCCTGTTATTATTGGGTGTGTTCGGCGTGCGTGCGTGTATGTTGGGATATATAAAATAGTATACTCTATAAGCATATGTTTATGATATAAAACCACGCATAGCATCGAGGAAGGACTACATTTCGTCGCATTGAGTCAGAGCCCAACGACCCCTGCTTCAGTCGCTACATCCGCAGCGTTCCGCGTACCCCCACCCACCCTCGCAACCAAACAAACGAATCCTCATATACACAGTCAAGAATGTTCAATCCACCCCCACCCGGCCGCGCCCGCTGCGTCATCGTTCCCCCCACCGCTGTTTCTTGTCCGCCCGCGGGGAAACAGTTACTGGTCCGCTATCTCCGTCAATGAGCGAAGCAGTCCTTCCACGACCCCCGTCGTACGAAACTCAATACTCGTCCTCCAGAGCCAAGCGCACACGTAACAAATAAGCAAACGGTACTCATCGTGGGTTACGAATACGCGTCTGCCCGCCTATCCTTATCTCACTCAATCTACCCGCCATCAAATGTAATTTACAATCGTCTAATTCCATAAATCACACTTATGCCAAATTAACATATTAACAATTAGGATTCTACCTTTCACACCCATATTTTCTCCTTCTCTGTGTGTGCTCTGTTCTACTATCCGTTTCCTACCGCTTTGCGTACTATTGTCAATCCATCGCTCAATATTTCCTCTCTCCAACATCTTCTGCAATACTGCAAGCGCCTGGTCAGCTGTGTCTTTCTCTCTACTCTCCTCTCTCATCAAGATATCTCTCTTCTCTACATTTTCTTTAAGTCGAGGTTACCAGGTAGCCAATACCAGTTGCTACAGCAAATTACTCAACAAGATATCATCAACTTCCTCTCGTCTTATCATGCGTCTCCTCCTCCTTCGACAAAACGCGCGCCATACGTGAAAGCTGTGCACACTGTATATACACTGTCTCGCCGTACAAGAGACAAATTCAACATATTGCATCATGCATACCGCGCCATCAAAACAGAAAAAGCCAATCTACACCAAAACATTAAGTAGATCCTTTCAGGTTCTTCCATAGCAATTGAAATTAATAATAAATGGGGTAAGATGTTCGAAGTAGTAAAACCAGGAGTTTTCAATAATTCATCAAGCAACGTATAAATTCATCAACGATATTGCATACGTCCGCGATACACATCGTACATCCCTCCGGTTTTTTATCCACCACCGTCTCCCTTCTTTGATCGCCCTAACTGAACCAGCGTTCCGATTACGTCACCCAATCTGGCCGTGTGGTATAGTATCGGTTGTCCCCTCCGTTAGTCGGTTGCCGCGCAACTCAATCGCCCCGTGACCAGGCGCCGTCTACTTCCACCTCGTCGTCTTTACCGGAATTCGATCACCCCTAGGACAGCCCGCGAACGAGGCAGAGGGCAGTGCATACACCTCCCGCAGCCGTCGCGAGAAAAATAGGGGGGCGGTGCCCGCGTTCCAACCACCAGGCTCGTTACCAGTGAGATACGCGAGGGGGGTGCCCGGCTCACTTAAGTGAACGTGCAAAAGCTAGGCCCAGTAGTAACTGCAGCCCACGCCCACCGCCTGAGCCTGCAGCATCCAGGCGCTAAACTAACATCGCTTACGAACGTCAACAATACCCATTGTGCTAAAACGTACATTGTCCGTCTGAGGCGGAAACGACCATCAGGACATATGAATATAGGAGAAACAAATGACATCATAGCAGAAAACGACAAACACAGTGGCGTTCACCATGCCAGTCCTGCTGGCTAAGCCGGGCATCACATAGAGTGGGACACTCCGTCTGCACCGCTATAGTGTGTCACGCGCATTCTTCTATATACATTAATAAATGCAGCACAGATGGAGGGTTTTCCTCCCGCTCCCTGTCCGTAACACCTCCTTCGTCCTTGGGTTTACTCCGGGCTGTGCCTCCTCGTCCTGCCCGACTGCCCGACCTGGTCTGCCCTCTTCCCCTTTCTCGCGCCTCGCTCGTCCCACTCCCGCCGGCCGTGCCACTCCTCCGGGCTCTGCTCCCCCGTGGGCGTCCATAACGCTACCGCTTGTCCTTTTCCCCCCTCTCTCCGTCCCCTCTCTCTGTTCTCTCTCCTTTCCGCCCATGTGTCTACTCTTCATCCTTTTTCTTTTTTCTCTTGCGCGCCCATGTCCTCCTAGACACACACACCCCCCCCCTTCAAACAACTGCGAAATGAGTCTCGTACTAGCTTTGCATCATCGCTCCCCACTTGTCGTTCGTACCTGCGTACAGAAATCTCTCAAAACCCATCCAGTGTTCCCCCACCAAGCCTGCATTACATTGATGAAAATAAACATCGAGAAATATTTAATTTTACACCCTTATGCAATGTTTTAAAGATGAAGATAGAAACATTCAAGCACGGCGCCGCTACGACCACACCCGCGCGACGAAAACAAGCAAGCGCAACGCCTCCGCACACACACGCACAACGGGTGTGTTTTCGGTATCTACGGAATGAATTTTAGGGCAATTACGCTTGACGTTCGTAAGCGATATTTAGTTGCCTGGATGTGCAGGCGTGGCTTGGCAAGTTACTGCCTACTTTGCACTTCACGTGTCGGTGACTCGGCACCGCCCCTCGTATCTCACTGGAGCCGACTGGAACGCTCGCCCCCCTTATTTTTCTCGGCGTCTGCGGTGTGTTGACTGCGAGGTGCCGAACCCCCACCAGGCCCCGCGCAACATCCCACCCCACAGGGCGGGACCACGCCCGCCCACAACACCACGGGCGCACACAGCCCACCCACCCCCACAAAACCATACACACCCACACCAGCACACCGCACAGGTCAGGCCACAGCCACACACACGCAGACACAGCACTATTTCACCGCGCGAAGACACACACCGCCACACACGACACACACAAACCACCACAACACTAACACACACACACACACCACACACACGACACAGACAACGCACCAGCACAGACACAGCACACGGTCGATAACCACAACAAAAGCACACACACCCCATGGAGTGAACAGAGCGATATCACGGGTGGTGGGAGGGAACAGAGCGATATCACGGGTTATTGGGAGGGAACAGAGCGATATCACGGGTGGTGGGAGGGAACAGAGCGATATCACGGGTTAGTGGGAGGGAACAGAGCGATATCACGGGTGGTGGGAGGCAATATAGCGATATCACGGGTGGTGGGAGGGAAGAGAGCGATATCACGGGTGGTGGGAGGGAACAGAGTGATATCACGGGTGGTGGGAGGGAACAGAGCGATATCACGGGTGGTGGGTGGAAGGGAACAGACAGCAACGCAACAGGTGACGTTATAGGTAAGTGGAGTGTACGCTATACAAGCACAATGTTAGGATCAAGTATTTGCAATGATATCAGGAGTGAATAAAAACAATCATTTGTTTTGCCTGCTTGTTCGCTTGTTTTTTGTTTGCTTGTTTGTAACCAAAACAACCAAGTAACCAAAGTAACCAAGTAACCAAGTAACCAAAACAATTGGTTTTTATCTGATATATCTTATGCTTGCATGTGATCGTGATATTGTGATTGTGATCGCAGCACAACCTGATCGTAGAGACTGCATGTGCAGTGTGGCTCCACGGGGGGCGAAAGCTGAGCGGAGCGTGACACTCTCGTTGTATTGAAGGTCGTGTGATTTACGCGCGCGCGCGGGCCGCCTGGCGCTCGTCATGGCGCAACAGACGAGCTTTTGTGTGGAGCCATGATGGCGGAGTTCCGGCATGCGCCCCCTGGTTCTAGCGCGTACCCACAGCTGTCGGAGTTTACGGTTATACTCCCCTATCTAACGGGACATGATCGGCGAGGTTGGTTATACGTGCTGTGGATATAGGGGGTGGGGGGGGATGCGTCATGTTTCATTCGCTTGGTTCGTGAGCTGTTTTGGGTATCGCTATAGAAATAATACTAGTTATATATATCGAACTATATATCGTGAAATATATCGTGTCTCTATATTATGTTTCTATGGGTATCGCGCGCGCGCAAGAGTCTAAATGCTATCGAAAAACAACAACAGCTAGCAACCCCCTACCCCCTCCCACGACACATACTCGTTGTCACATGCAACTGGTCAACGATGTCATCGGCGTTGATGTCGTTATTGCTGCTGGTGCTGCTGCTATTATTATTATTATTGTTGTTGTAGTTGTTGCTGCTGCTGTTGTCGGTATTGTTGCTGTTGGTGGTGTTGTTGCTGCTGCTTGTGCTGCTGCAATTAGTATTATTATTGTTGTTGTTGTTGTTGTTGTTGTTGCTGCTGTTGTCGCTATTGTTGCTGTTGGTGGTGTTGTTGCTGCTGCTGGTGCTGCTGCAATTAGTATTATTATTTTTGTTGTTGTTGCTGCTGTTGTCGCTATT